CAAATGCGGACACCCTCTCCGCGGGAGAATTGCGTTGAGCCATGTGTGGATCACATACGCTTGAAGCTGAGCGAAAAGCGCTCTGGTATGCGTGTCGCGTTAGCACGGCTAGTACAACTGCGACTCAGGTCGCTTCTTTCGTTTATCACGCTCTTGCTCAGCATTGGTCCGAGAGGCGTGAGCAAACTCACGGATAAAATCTCCAGTGAAATCAAGCAACACCGTAAGTAAAATAATCAAATAATTCAGAAACATAATAAAGAAACATACCCACACCGCTAGTCGTGTCACCATCCCCATTCAGTGCATTTCCCTCGTGAGTAGTTGTGTCCCCATCGGCACCCTCGTTTACAATCGCGTTCACCTTCACCTCCGCGTCCGCATCACCCTCATCCACATTCACATCATCAACTTCCACATTCGTGTCATCTTCACCCACATTCAAGTCCACACCCGCGTCACCATTCGCGTCGCCATCTTCCACATTCGCGTCACCATCTTCCACATAGCCAGCTGAGCACTACTACCCGGTACATGACAAGAAACTCCTTGCCATGAAGTATGCACTCGCGAAGTTCCGAGTCTATTTACTAGGGAGTAGCCCTTCCGTGGTCTACCCCGACCACGCTTCACTACGGACGGCAGTGAAGTCGCCGCACATTTCGAAACGTATGGTGAGATGGTGTCGTTTTTCGCGGAACTCAACTTCCAGGTTGATTACAAACATGGAAGGTTGAATGTGGTGGCCCACGCGTAATCACTTCGACCTGATTATGCTATCACCAATCGGATTGGCGCCGAACGATTGGGTACTCCGTCGTCGTCACTGATTGGCGACGTGAAGGCCGCATTTGCAAACGAAACATGCGTTGCTGGACTATGTCTCAGGACCTTCGACAAGTCACGCCTAGAGTTAGCACCGCACTTGGGTGCGCGTTCACATCACTATCGTGTGCACGAACGACTGCTGCTTTACAGCGCACTGGACGACGATGTAGATCGCACCGTTGCGCCGAATGATTATGATCTGCGTATGCGGATCATGTATGATTATCACGTTATCCATACGACAGGGCATCCAGACCGTGAGAGAACTTCCTCTTTTCACGAGGGACTTCTACTGGAATCACCAGTACAAGTATGCCCGCAAGTACGTATGTGCTTGCGAAGTGTGCCAACGCGTGAAGTCTGCTGCGCTCTCGCAGGCTCCATTACAATCACTACCGCATTGAGCACGCGATTCTCGGGATCAGTCTGACCGCCCGTCTTCGGATGACCTGCAGTCGACATCGACAATTGTGTTCGCAGAAGTGTAAACACTTCTTGCCATCACTCTACGTGAATGTCATGCGGCATCCACTGTTTCCGAGCTTGCACGGATTGGCGGCTCCCTTCTTAAGTGGAGGGAGGATCAACGGTTGTATCTAGCAGAACACTCATACGGACACGGCATCAGCGGTGACGACGTGAATACAAGCGCCCTCTGTCAGGGAACGAGACTGCGAACAAGGACAATGTGTCTGTGCAGGGCACAGCCACCGCGCATGCTGGGCTTGTTGCGGAGAAAGAAGCCAGACCGGACAAGTTATTCAGCTCGCAAACACAGGACATTGGCCAGCATCGACAAGGTGTTATACAGTTTGTCCAAGATACGATAGCAGTTTCTTTGGACAGACAGGAGCTGAATGCAGATAATGTCGGCAGAAGTAGCAATGAATTCGAAAAAGTTTCGTTAGTTCTGTTAGCTACACATAATCTGCCTAGACATGTAGATTTGAATTTCGGAACAATCACGCCTGCCCCGCGCTTCGCCGATCCGCCCACGGTACTTGAACGGTACGGCAGCGCATATACGTTGGACGTATCGTCCAGCATGCGGCTTATCCGACATTTTAGGTCGGGTGGTTGTAGCCTTATGTGCAACACGAGCCATCTAGCCTTGATGGCTCAAAGAGGACGACGAAGCGGCGCCAGCCAGCTTCTCGAGCACGGCGACACGGTCGAGCAGCCTCATCAGTTTCGTTCCAAGCTCAACTTCGATGTTCAAAGCGATCTGATTTGTGTGGGCGTCTTAGTTGGCGTGCTCATTGCGAATGAGCTCGGAGATTAACGACCTCGTCAATTCTTTGCGTTAAGACTAGTGCGTTTTATTTCAACGGGGGGGGGGAGTAACGAGATTACACTTGGTTACGAAGGGT